CCCCCAAAACCTTCCCTGACCCCCCACATCTTCCCCCAGACCTCCTGCCCCTGCTCCCTGCACATGATCCCAGCTGCCAGAGGCAGGGAAGGAGCTGTCAGCTCAGGATGGAATAAAATGCTGTTAGGAAAATCCTGTAACTTGTGTTTTTTCTTGCTTCAGCAGAATTTAGGGAGAGCCACTGCACTCCTCTCCTCCTGTCTCAACCCTCACTCCAGGGAAATCCTTCCCAGCTCTTCCCTAGGGCAATTCCAGTCCCTTTTTGCTCAGAGGGGCTGATGCATCCCTCTGGGATGGATGTGGAAACTGAGGCACAGGGAATGCTGTGCCTGTACTTGCTGTATCCCAGCACACACCTCCCCATGGGATGCAGGGACAGGTGACAATGACAAAATCTCCCATGTCCTCACATCCCCCCTGTGCTTCCCAACGTGCTCCACATACTCCAGGGGGGAAGAGGCAAGGTTGGAGCACAGAGGAACTGGATGCTGTGCTCCTGACCTCATCTCTGACTCACTGGGATGTTCTGATCCATCACCTTGCTTTGGATAAAGCAGGAATTAGGAGAGGAGAAGTTTGGGTCACGGGAATCAGTGGGGCAGAGCTCAGGCAGGGAACAGAGCTTCATCCTGTGGGGTCAGAGCTGCCTCTCTGCACCCCAAAGCTGGAATATTTCAGAGGGAGAGAGAGAAAACCCTTCCAGTCCCTGCACTGGCACCTCTCAAGTGAGATCTCACCTTCTGCAAGGTGGGACAGGGTGAGATGCACCTGTGACCTCACTCTCAGGACAGATCCTCTGAGCCTCAGGAAATCACTGCCTTTTCCTCCAGAGAACCACAAGCACCATCACACCCTCCCTGTGGCTCCTTGGCATTTCCTCGTGCTGTGGTGGCCACTGGTGGTTTTGGGGTTGGTTTGGGCTATTTTCAAACACTTCCACATTGGGACTTTGCTGGCTCCTGGACTTTTTTCAATGCTGATGGATGAGCTGGAGCAAAGTGGAAGCAGCCACAGCTGTTTGTCCCCTGCATGTTGTGCCATGGGGGCACAAGTCACCCCCTACCAAAACCAGGCAGGCATCCCCCACTCTCAGAGCTCAGGAAACTCCTCTGGCTGCCAAGGGACACATAGCCCTGCCACAAATAACCAGGAGCTAATTGAGGGCGGGTAATTAGGCACAGCCAGGATGGGAGAGCCAGGGGAGGTGTCCCAGGAGGTGACACTGCTGCTGATGGAGTTGTTTAGCAGTGACACAAGGACAGAGCCTCCCCCTGCTCCTGCACAGCCCCAGCACAGCCCCAAGCCCTGTAAGCCTTGAGGACACATCAGCACTGTCCCCATGGCATCGCAGTGAGGGAAACATCCCAGGATTTCCAGCTCTGGCAGGGCTGGGGAGCCGCAGGGTTCAGAGCAATCCCAAGGCACTGGGCTGTAATTATCCCCTGGGATGTGGGATCCAGCCCCACACATTAGATGGGAGGCAGAATTCCTGCCCAGCCAGGAATAGCTGCCGTGGCCGGGCGCTGGCAGGACCCAGGCAGGGGGCAGGGAGGCAGCAGCACTCACCACGATCCGTGTCTCGGCAGGGCTGGGGAGCCGCAGGGTTCAGAGCAATCCCAAGGCACTGGGCTGTAATTATCCCCTGGGATGTGGGATCCAGCCCCACACATTAGATGGGAGGCAGAATTCCTGCCCAGCCAGGAATAGCTGCCGTGGCCGGGCGCTGGCAGGACCCAGGCAGGGGGCAGGGAGGCAGCAGCACTCACCACGATCCGTGTCTCGTTGGCTGGCCGAGGGTCGATGGCCAGCCCCCACCCGTAGTGTCGATGGCCAGGCTGCCCCCCACCAGGTCCTGGCTGATGTGGGTCCCCTCGGGGGTCTCCCGAGCTCTCCTGTGCCCTTTGCCCACGGCTGTGCTCCCGGGGGGGCGTCCTGGGGGGCACAGAGATGGGTCAGAGGGCACTCTGACCAAGAGGGCACTCCTGGGATCAGCTCTGTCCCCCAGCAATGCCTCTGGTGATGGGACATGAGTTTCAGCAGGTCTCAGCCTTGAGAAGCAGCATCACTGCAAGGATGGAGATGCAAGGAAGAATCTCTCCAGGCAGAGGTGGCTACAGGTGCAGGGACAGGTGACAGTCACCCCAGGCAAGAGGGAATAGCTGTGATGGAGGGGTGTAAGGAGGCAAAACACCATCTTGGCTCACACCCTGCACACACCAGCACTACCCCAGGGATGGGGAAACTGCCACCAGTTCCCTCCTCTGGGCTGGGCTGGTGTCCCAGGACAGACTCCAAGCACCATCCTCCACAAAAACATACCCCTCATCCCCTCCTAACACATCTCCCCAGCCCTGGGGAGGGAGCTGGGGCTGGAAAAAAGCAAGGCTGAGGGGGGCTAAAAAAGCCATTTGGGCCCAAATCTGCAGAGAATCATGAGACTCCTGGCAGCTGGGCGCGGGCGAGCGCTCGCCCACGGCAGGGACACAGCCAGGACGTGTGTCCCCAGCCAGGGGGACACAAATCCCCCGGGGGGGATGCAGGCTGCTCCTTTCAGCATTGGCACGGCG